ACAGGACCCCCCCCCCCCCCCCGAAGTCAGTAAGGGGTTCCCAATGCATGTCTGGGGATACCTGGAGACTAGTGTGCCGATCATCTGGACAGACGCGGGGGCCCTCCTCTGAGCTTGGCCTGCTGCCCAAAGACTGAGCCATACAAACCTGAAGCTCTCCTCTGTAATAAGAGGCTACCTGGGGGGAGGGGCTTCAATGTGTGAGAGGCCAATGTCCAGGCCAGACCACAGCAGGAAGGACTCCCATCCCAGGAGACATGGACATAGGAGGGAAGACCAGAAGTCAGCCGAGGAAGGAAAACCCCTAGAAAAAGGGGGGAGGGGCCTTGTCAGCTGAGGGTCCGAAGTACCCGGGGCCCGGAGCAAACATGATAGGAACCAACTCCACAACAGACAATGGCTGAGGAGGGGCGAGAAGAAAAGGTCCCCCCAGCACCGGACAATGAAGGGAGACCCCGTGTCTGATGACCTCAAAGACCACTTATTGCGGGTCCATTGATACCCTCCCCCGCAGGTGACCGGCAGATACCTGACAAGGGAGGAGCCGGCTGGATTTTGGAGGGGTAAGTGGCATCCCGGGTATATTGCCCTCTGGAGGGGGGAAAAGTCCTTCTGCACACTCAGGTGGGGCCCGGGACCTTTCAGGAAGAGGAAAGCGTGTATGGGGAAGGTCTGGAAGACCCGAGGCTGGAGACATCAGGCCGATCCTCCACATGCAGTGCACGCCGCATCAATAAGGGCCCTTGTAATTGTGAGGTGACGGCAGGGCCCCAGAATCAGCCTTTCCCAGAGGAACCGGGTCAGAGATGGTTCTAAGGCCTCCGGAAGGTTCCATCATTCTCTGGGGTATCGGGGGAAGAGGCCAGAGCACGGGGCCCCCCGGGGCTGGAGGAGACTCCGATGACACCACCAGGATCACAACAGACCACGGAGGGCTCGGCCAGCATCAGAGGAGACACGCGTGTAGCTCGGAGTGACTGCACACGTACCTTGGAGTGACCACACATGTGGTGAAGCTGCCGGGTGCACATCTGCAAGATCTTCAGCAGGTTTTGTACAATGTCCTGTAACATACAAGTCACGTGTCAGATACACGCAGCTGAGTCCGGAGGTGTGACGGGAGCGCGTCGGCCTCCATCTTACCTTGTGTTTCTTAAAGCTGCAGTCCAGGAGCGGCATGCCCACCTTGAGGAACGTCTCCATGAAGAGGCGGCCATACTGCAGAGAATACAGAGGTGATGCAGGCAGAGATGTACACCTCACAGCGCGGGGGGCGGAGAGGGGGGCCGGCGCGCGGGGAGGAGAGGGGGGCTGGCGCGGG